TCAAGAGCTGTCACCCTGATGCCAGCACATCGGGTCCAAGGTTCTTTCTTACCAATTTGTGCTGCCCCCCTTCCCACTGGTATGTGAAACTAGACATTTAAATTAGTTCACCTAAATTTTTGAAAACTTCCAAGACGCCCGCGTACTGGGAAACTCGTGATTTTGGAATGAAAGAGCTTTTGAGTCTAGGAATGAATAACAGGAAAAGTGCAGCTGGGTTTAGAAAGGGGCTTTATAATACTCCACAGCAAAATTTATTAGGTTATTCCCTCTTAATGAGTTCCATATAAAATGCTCTCAGTTAATGAACTAAAGATCATCTCTGCAGCTGACAAGCAGGCAGATTCTGACTTAGACCTACGCAAAACGCTGGAGCTTCTTAGTAAAGCAGGCAGATAGGACTGCTGTTCTGTGCCAGACCCATGTGTTAGGGGGAAATTTCCATAAATTGTACGACACGAGGCTGTAGAATTCAGAGAGGCCAAACAAATATTTACTGTGTTGGAATGCCTTTTTCCTCCTGCTCTGTTTACAATGCTAACTTAAAAGAATGTCCCTTGAGACCATTCAATAAACCCAGCAGAGCTTTTCTATGGCTAAAACGGTTTGACTCTTCCTCTTTCTCTCGGTTTCACAAAAGGTGTTTCTGTTCCTGTCGCTGTGGCACAGGGTGAGGCAATAGTAATTGACCAATAAAATCTCCACTCTGAGCTAATTGGCAAAGGACCTGCAGTTACAGTCTTGGTAAGCCATTGGGGTTCAGCTCTCCTGTTGAGCCCCATGATCCCGGAGGACTGATTGAACTGCGATTGCCTCTGGCTAAAAATTGGGACTTAGGGAAAACCGTTTCAAATTAGAGGATTAAGATCAGATGGAGGTTTTATTTAAGAAATACACCTTAGCTAAGGGGCCTTACGTCTTCAGCTAGGAAAAACTCTCATTATTGTTCCGTATTTCCTCAACAATGTAAACCAGCAAGTAAAGTTCACTTTATTTCTTACGGAAATGTTTCTGCATTTTTCAAATTATAATTCTTTTAATTAATGCTCACCTTCAAAATTCTAAAGTACATTATTAAATTATCTTTAGTTAGATACATTAACATTTCTTTTTTAAAAATTACATTTACGTTTGGGGAGCTATGCCATGGCGCACACGTGGAGGTCAGACGACACTGAGGAGTCCGTTCTCTCTTCCACTACGTTGGTCTCACTTTTCTCAGGGACTGAACTCAGTGCATCAGGTTGGCAGGAAGCACCTTTACCAGCCGAATATTGGCTCTCCTTTATAGAGCTCTTTTCCTTTTCGACAGACGGCTTTGATCCTTCTCATGTTCTTTTGTTAATATGCTTTATATTTTGACTTGCAGTATAGTGATTTAGATATTTAGCATACTTTTAATTCACATACCATTGACTATGCATCATTCATTTATTAGTTCAAACTTTAAAGTTTTGGGCTAACACAGAACCTTATCAAAATAAAGTATCCAAACTTTTATTGACTTACAAAATTATTTGGGGGTGTAGTGAGATTTGAGAAATTTAAAAATACCTAAGGGAATAAGTTTTCTTTATTATATAGAGTAGAGAAAAATCATATGAGAACAGAATTCATGAGCTTCTTCAATATTCTTGCTGGTGAAAAACATAATAAAAGCTATATGTGTGTATGTGAAATACATATGTAAATATCTGTAGAGAAAGTGTTAAATATGTCAAAACAGAAAGCTTTAGTTTGTGTGAATAAACAGACTACAACTAACTTTAAATATTACTTTCATAGTATTATATGTCTCTAAACTGTTCTTATTCCTCCAATTATATGGATGATGTTTTCTAAAATCTAGAAGGTTATGGCTAGATTCATTTTAAAATAAAAAAAGTCTAGTGGATGCTAAGTTATTGGTATACTGCATAAACATGCAACTAATTGTAAGATATAATATGGTTTAACCTGCTCTTCTAAAGCAAGGTAATATTCAGCAGGAAAGTACTTGGTAAAGTTTATAGAAAAAAATGAAAATTACTTTTCATTTGAGACCAGGTTGTTTAATTTTACATCACTATGCACATAAACTAAAATATCAATATGATAAAACTGAGTAAATTTTAGAACATCTTAGTTTGAGCACTGTACTTCCAGTGGGAAATATTATTTCAACTTCATTATTCACTAGAGAGGAAAACATATGACTAAAATACACTTTAAAAATACACAGGACTTAAAAGGACAGGCACTATCTTAAGTTCAAAGGATGGAGAAAAATATTTCAAGCAAATGGCACCAAGAAATAGGAGGAGTTGCAGTTCTAATATCTGACAAAATAGACTTCAAACTGAAAATAATCAGAAGAGATGAAGAGGGCCAATTCATTCTGATTAAAGGAACAATTGAGCAAAAAGATATTGCAGTCATGAACACATATGCACCAACTCATAAAAACCACATGACACTGGCACAAAATAGATCCCTAGATCAATACAAAATTGAAGACCCAAATATGAGTACATGCAATTTCAGCCACCTGATAAAGGGGCTGAAACATTTCACTGGAGGAAAGACAACATCTTCAGCAAATGGTGCTGGCAAAACTGGATCTCCACCTGTAGAAGGGTATAATTTTTATAAATGAAAAAGGAAAGTTTTTATGAGAATGTTTTGTTTAGTTCACTGGACTGCACAAGACACCAAAGATAACTGATCAGGAGGGTAGCATAATTACTTTTGAAAAAAGATGTATTTCTGTTTTTATTTATGTGTACATGTGTGAGTGGATGTCATCCATAAAGGCCAGAAGAGGGTAGGGCATCAATCCCCTGGAGCTGGAGTTACAGACAGTGAGCTGCTGGATGTGGGTGGTGGGAACCAAACTCAAGTCCTTGGGAAGAGCAACAAGCATTCTCTGCCACTAGTCATTCCCCTATGTTAAAGAAATTAATGACACGGCAATTAAATGGGAAAACGTGGTTCTGGATTGAATCTTAAATAAGAGAAAGAGGAAACGGAGAAATACCTGGAAGGTTCCATTTAATTGTATGGGTGTTCATTTTGTGGTGTTGACCCGTTCCATCACTGCAGTCACGGAAGAAAACTAGCATTTTCGCAAACACACACTAAAGTCGTTTAGGTAAAAGGGGATCATTTCCGCTTCTTTAAAGGTTCAGGAAGCAGCTTCTCATGCTCATATATTAATGGGAGAAAAACAAAACACATTTAAGAAAAGGGTAGTAGTTGCGTTTTGGATATGAAGGGTACACAGGAATTCCTTGAAATTTTTCAACTTCTTTGGAAATCTGAAACAATATCAAGAGAAATAAAAAATGTGTGAACAACATGAAATTGGGTTAGAGTTGACTCTGAGTGTGTGCATGTGTGTCATGGCGAAAATCTATATTAGCATCTTTTGGCAGAGAAATTTGAGAAAACAGAATTTTTAGTGTATCCATCATGCAATGAGCAACCCCACTTCAGGTATCTGTTTCATGCAAATATTCACATCTATGCATTGATATTTACTGTAATACTGGGATTTTCTTTTTTCTTTTTCTTCTTTTTTTTTTTTTTTTTTTTTTTTTTGTCTTTTTGAGACAGGATCTCCCTGTAGTTCCAACTGCCTGGAACTCACTCTGTAGACCAGGCTGGCCTCGAACTCACAGAGGCTCCGCCTGCCTCTGCCTCCCCAGTGCTGGGATTAAAGGCGTGTGCCACCACACCAGCTGTAATACTGTTTTGTATTAGAAAAGAAGCAACCTTTATATCCATGTGAAAAGAAGTTAAGGCATTGTCATCCTAAGAGTAATAGGTGGCAGGACTTAGATTTATGAATATCTCTTATGTCTTCACCTGGAAAGAATTCCAACACATATAACATGAACAATCCAAACCATGTGACATTAAATCCCATTTTTCTTTATACCACTGTTAGTTTTTTATTTAAAAATCAGATAAAGGTTCAGAACACCTAACAATAGGTCTGGATGGAGCCCTGATGCCCAGGAAGAGTGAAAGGGAAAAAGACAAGGACAACGACGTATGCCGCATCTAGATCAATATGTCTGGCTATAGAACATGAACATATCCATCATCAGGTGTATAGTTCTCAAATAGAACAGTGAGATGTGGACTGAGGATATAGTTTGATCCTAACAGGCTATTGTATTGTATCACAAGAAAAGAAATAAGGAAATATAATTATAACAAATATACTTTATATGATATTGTTTAATATATCTTTTCTCTACTACTGTCCCATTAAGCTACTACTTCTCTGGGTCTTGGTAGAAACTTGATGTTCATTGGTAGGGTTCCTATAATAAGGAATATATTCCTTATAATAATTTAAATTATTCAGATGGATAAGCTTTTGTAACTAGGGGGCACTGAAGGCTACAGAGGATTAGTTTTTATTCCACTAAAATGATTCCAAGACCACTGAGGATATTTTTACATTAAAATCTCAACGAGCTGAATAGCACTGAATTACATATGGCAATTGTACAAATGATACTTTTGATATATTATATTGTGAGTTGGCCATTCAAACATTCAGCTAGAACAAAGCTCTCCAAATAATGCAATTTTTTTTTTTTTAGTCTTTGCTTATGTTATGTGAGCTACTGATAATTCCAATTTTAGCTGTAACAAAAATAAATACATTGGATGTGAAATGTCAGGGAGTAGGGGGTCTCATAAAATGAGACTTAGGGCTATTTTCATGTAGTTACAAGATCAAAGTCAGTCTCCATTGTTCATTGTTTTAGCAAGAAGGAAAACACAAGTAGAAGTGAAGTCTAACATGAAAACAAACATTTACTACATCATCAAGTATTTTGTAACATATCCAAACACATTCGAATACACAAAAAAGGAAATACACTAATTCAGAAAACATCTTGAATTTTACTTGAAATATATAAGCATTTCAATAAAACAAAGAAGCTAAGTTCTTTAATTAAGGATGTAAAGTGCTTACATATTTATGACTTTTTCCAATTCCATTTATTCCTAGTAATTTTTCTTGGATTCATTCCCTAACAGTGACATGAAATCAAACATTCACTGCTTCACTTATATTTAAAATATGGGCAACTCTTTTTAAGGCTTATGCTTTGGTGTCTTCTGTTATCAACAAATAAAAGGTATGGAAAAATATTTAGGTTTCAAGATGGACTAAATAATTTAATTTATCCAAAATATTTAATTGATACATCTATGCTTTATTTATCAGAAAGCCAGAATTCAGTATGCATTTTTGTTAGTCCAGACTTCTCTTTGCTTCAGAAATGCTTACTGTGTTTTCTTATCTGGCATTTTGACAACACAGTTACACTTTAAAATAAGCTGACTTTACAAATTTATAGTTTTTAAACGTTATTTTTCCATAGAGTTTGCCTAACGATATACTAATCTACTTCTCTTACAAAGTTTAAACCATACAATTTTACTTAATCTTTGATAATGCGATCTAAAATTAAGTAAGAATAAGACAGCTTTCTTTGAAAGTTACAAGGAAGGAAATGTAAGATGCTACATACATTAGAATGGTGACCATAGCAGGAGTCAGCGTGCACATCATGTTTTAATCAGGATTATTTGAAATATTTGCAGTTACACTAACAGAAGAGTATATTATGTATATTATGCAGTATGCTTATTCTTCATTGATTTCTAAAGCAGTATGCTCACTATACATGTATACGTCATTATTGGAGCACACACTTTACAGGATCATGCTGCCATTCAAAAGTAAGGTGCTGTTATTTTATTGTAATCAAGTGGCATCCAAAATGCAATATATTGCTATGAAAATGCAAAGTTTTCACAGATTAGCAATTATGAATTGCACTGGTCACAATGAAATGGTATTTGGTTTCTCATACAAATGGAAAAGATGTATCATAAATATATAGACCAATATATAACATTGAAAAACAAGAAGCAGAAAGGAAATAATGCTCTTGCATAAAGATCGATGCGCTTTGCTGCCGTTGGGATGACAGGTTTGGCAGGAGGAGGTTTCTTATTGTTCTTTGCCTGTGACTTTCCAAGTCCATTGTTAACCTCAATGGGCTTTCCATAGCAGTCATAATTGGATAGTTCAAAATCTCTTGGTAGGCTTCCAACAATGCTGAAGTCATTGGATCTCAGGTCAGATTTAGAAGTGCACACCTTTTTGCATCTGGTCTCACCAACCTGAGGATAAGGATGAACATCAATGTATAGGGATTTTTTCTATTTATAAATACCACATCTCTTCAAAAGGGTATTTTTAAATTGAGTTTCCAAATTAATAGGGATAACAGCTAATTGCTTAGATCATTATATTAGTTAAACATTTAGAGCTCTGATAGGTTGCTCAAATAACAAGGTTTATGCCATTAGGTAAATTTATTATTTAACATCAAGAAATAAGAGCATGAACCAACATTTATTATATGTACTGCTAGGCTTGTGAGAGTTTTCTCAGGTTAAAAACTAAGAAATAAAAATCTATCTATGGTCCGATATGGAACCATGACATAGAAATTACTATGTATGTGAATTACAAAAATCCTCTCATACTTCTAATCTTTGGTTTCCTGTTTTCAAATAGAATTGCTTATAAACAATTGAACCATTTATCCCTGAAGACATTCGGCCTTTAAATCACAGCCACAAAAATTCAGATTATTTAAATATAAAATCACATGAGTAAAAGAAGAAGAACATCAATATCATGACAATAACATAAAAAAAAATCCTCCAAAGCTTTGGTTCAGCTATACTAAATTTTACACATTTAATTCATTGGAACATGATATGAACTGTGACTGTAATGCTCAAAATAAGTAGAGGTTTACATGTGTGTGCACCTAAGTGTGCTAGAAAACTGAAGAAAGAGAAAGATTAGGTTCCCTATTACAAAGGTTCCTCAGTTTCCTAAAAAGTCATGCTGCTCTCTGTTTTTTCCCCATTCATCGAAGATTTTACACAAACTTTCTTTGCTTTATTGAACTTATCAAATACATACATCAAAGAGTGTAGAATAAAAAAAAATGCCATTTTCAAGTTACAGTTTTATAAAGAAAGGTATAAACCACCTAAAATATGACAATAATCCTACTTAATAGGTTCCTAAAATAAATTTGGTGTTTTAACCTTCAAATCATCATTTTTCTATTGTTCTTTGTACACATATCTCATTTACTTTTTTATTTTTATTTTATTTGTATTGTCTGCATGTATGTAAGTGCACTCATGTATGTAAGTGCACCTGTGTAGTGCAGTGCCCATGGAGGACATAAGAGGGCGTCAGATCCCCTGGAAATGGAGGTACAGACAGTTGTTAGGTGCCATGTGGATGCTGGGATTCAAACCTGGGTCTTCTGCCAGTGCAAGATCAGCCAGTGCTCTTAATTGCTGAGCCATCTCTCCAGCCCCATCATTTACTTTGATCATATACACTGTCAGTTCTGAAAATTACTGATAATAGATATGAGGTAGGATAAAGATAAAGCTCTCAGGAATTTGTTTAAAGATGCAGATAAAACCATAATATTTTAAAATGTAGACTTTGAAATTTTTCTTTGTGGTTCATGCGAAAGCAAATAATTTTTGTGTAAAATTTCTTGAACTGAAATAAAATGTCTTCTACAAATGATACAAACATGTTCAGGTGAAATAATATGTATATACTCTACTGAATTCAAATCAATACTAATTTTTTAAAGCATACCTTTACTATACATAAACTGATCTTATTCATGAATGAACAACAGCATTTACTTTTTAATGTACTGAAAACTGGGAGCGCTGGTGCTGTTTTCTTTACGTTTTATTTATGAAAGCTCAATGCATAACAAGTGCTAAATGTTAGGGATAACATGCTATTACCAGGAGGTCTGCAACGGTTTGGATGGATGAAAAGAGAGACATAAGCCTGGTGTGATGACCCACCCTTTTCATTCCAGTACTTAGGGGGAAGAGGAGGCAGGTGGATCTCTGGGTGATGCAGGCCAGTCTGGTCTACATAGTGAGTTCCAGGGTAACATAGTGAGATCTTCAAAGAAAAAAGAATGAAAGTGTGAAAGAAAAAATAAATGAAAATGAAACATATAAGTGAACAAAGCAGTGACCAATATACTGAAATGTCCGAGGTTTTTGTTTTGTTTTGTTTTGTTTTGTTTTCTTAAGGAACCAGATATTTGAATAACATTATTGCATGAGGGCCACAATTATATTTTAAAAAAATCAAAACCAACCTCATACTGAAAACTAGACTTTTTTTGTGTTTTTATCGAAGATTAACATCTGTAGGCCAAATTCCAGCCCTGCCAGGGCCATTTCATAGCTTAGGCCCGTTTCCTGTATCAAAATTTAAACTGTGTCATCAACATGGCGTTCTTCCTGCCCCCATAGCCACACATCCTTCCACACTTCTCCCCACAGATGACTTGAGAATGCATCAAGCTTCCACTGTGCTTTGGCCTGCCTCCTCATGACTGGCTGATCAGCCCATGGTCCCCAATGCTAGATGTGAGTGATCAGCATCATGACCTTTGCTGCTATTGGTCCACAATGGGTGCCCTTTCATGTTATTGGATGATTATGTGTATGCATACAGCCTGTTAAAAAATAGAGTTCTGCCCTCTGACGCACCCCTGGAGTGGTCTTTGCTCTGTCACAGTTGCCCTCAGTGAGGTATGGACGTGCCACTAGACCACATGGACCCACAAACATCGAAGGATTTCTACAGCTCAGATTTTATTAGTTGGTACTGTTATTCTGACTAAAAGTTGGTGACATAACACTTGATCAAAATTACTTTGAAAATATTTTCATTTTAAAAAGCAAAATAGGGGGCTGAAGAGATAGGTCAGGGGTTAGGAGCACTGACTGCTCTTGCATAGGACGCAGGTTGGGTTTCCAGCCACCCACATGGCAGCTAACAACCATCCACAACTCCACTTTCAAGGTATCTGATGCTTTTCACTTCCATGAGCACTGCATGACATAGGTGCACTTACATGCAGGCAATATATTCATACACTTAAAAAATCATAAATAAAAAAAATATCAAAAGCAAAATAGAGGCTGGAGAGTTGGCTCAGCAGTTAAGAGCACTGGTTGTTCTTGCAGAGGACCCATTTCAGTTACCAGCACTCACATTATGACTAATAATCATCTGTGGCTCCAGTTCCAGGGAATCTGACTGTTCTGACCTCCACGGGTATTGCATGACATGGGTACACTTGCATACGTGCAGGAAAAACACTCATACACATAAAAATAATAAACAAACTATTTTTAAAAGAAAATTCAGTGAAATAAATGGATTTTGAATCCAAAACTGCAATTATACATTTTTTACAGAAAAAAAATTATTGAATTTTAAAGGCAGCAATTAAAAAAATTCTTTTTTCTTTCATGTGTTAATAAATAGCTTCATAAATCTTATCAATTTATAAATTCAAAGTGAATTTGCTATGCATATTAATATGAACTTATTTTGGATCTTGCATTACCATTTTGAAACTTGTCTCCAAATATGAATATTACACAGGTGCAATATTTATTTTAGAAATTATATTTTATCTGGTAAAATAATAATTTATATTAATGTCTAGAGATTAAAATTTCCCATCAATTCTTAAAACTCTCTATGCATCTATGACCTTTGTAGCAAATGTCACAGCAGTTCCAGAATTCAAATAAATGTGCAATTAAAAAATAATTAAAATACAGTATTTATTTAACTTATGGAACATTTTTTAGCACTAAATAATTTATGTGTATGCATGTGGGCTTGTTTTTCTCTATATGTACCATGTGTAAGAAGAAGCCCTCAGAAACCAGAAAAAGGTGTTCATTCCCTGGAACTGGAGTTACAGGTGGTTGTGAACTGCCATGTGGGTGATGGTCAACGTGGGTCTTCTGTAAGAGCATTAAGTGCTAATAACCACTGAGAAATCTCTCCAGCCATAAGCATGTTGAACTTTCATTCCCTGGGAAATTATTTTAAGTTTTCCTTATTTCAAAGAAGAGGTATGAGTGGGTTGGAAACATTGGGAAGTCCAAAAGTGACAGGGCCATGACAGTGGAATGGTAGGTAACGAGTTAACAAAATATGGCATAGACACCTCCACACAATTCAAGGATCTCCAATGATCTTTCCACTTCTGTAAGGGGGAAATTAATAAATGTTGCAGATGCAAAGGAGTTTTTCTGACAAAATTCTGACATAGGCAGAAGGATTAAAAGTTTGAGGTCACACAGCTTCAGAGACCAACCCTGTCTCAAAAAAAAAAAAAAAATTCACGAAGAAAAGAAAGAAAGAAAAGCATAAAGAGCCTCACAGTGGTGCAAGTCTTCAGTCGTTAGAGTGTAGTAGGCAGGGTGCAGAGAAAATTAAGATGCTGAGAGTCTTAAACAGCACAAGGGTCTTGCTTCTATGAAGAGAGAGCAGACTTAGTTCTTTTCCTCCTACTCAGTTCCATGGAAACCCTAGACCTTGTATTTAAAAGAATTCAAAAGCAGCAACAGGAGGAGAAATAATGAGTAGACTGGAAATAGCAGGAAATATGAAAAGAAAGGGAAAGTTAATGGAGTATGAGGTAGCAAGTGCCAGCTGGAGGAAGAGGAAGGGGAGGGAGGAGGAGGAGAGGGGAGGGAAGGAGAGGAGGTAGGAGGAGGAAACACTGATGAGGAGGAAGATGACTATGAATGGTGGAGGCCAGGAGACAGACCCCTGGGGCCCTCTGAACCCAAGGATTCACACAGTGTATGTTTCTTCATTTTCTTTTGCCTTATGTATTTGGAGCTGAGGAAGGTGTCACCTGTGACTACCAATGGATGCAGACAAAAAGTCCCTAAGAAACCCTGCTTGGTCTAGCCAAAGACCAAAGGATGGGACAGTCCAACAATGTAGAAAGTGTTTAGCTAATAACCTATCTATTCCAGCCAAATGCCACTGAAATACTCACGGCTCCATTTTTACACACACTAACACAATATATTGGAGGACTGGAGTGTCCATCTTTCAGAGGCTGGGATGAGGGGCTCCACACCTCAGTGATGTCAGACAAGGCCATAAGAAGCCAGGATTCTCTTCTCTGAACACAGGGATAGTGTCTGCTCCTTGTTGAGGTTCAGACCTTGTGGGGAACATGTACTTCCATTCCCACCTGGTGTGACTACTCCACTTCTAATCTGAGGTGACACCCAAGGAGGCTGTAGAGAGTGGAAACTTCCAACATCAACAAGTCACAAGGTTCCCTCAGGTTACCACATAGAGAGCTGGGTGCCCTGCCTTACCAGCAGTAGCAAGGAGCCCTCAGTCACTGAGTGTAGAACCCAGACTTCTACTCCATCCAGGCAATATGACTCAGCACCCAGCCTGCCCCTGGTAGGACATAGAAAGCCAGCTAAAACAGAGCTTCAAGCATGATTCAGAGTCACATAATAAAAAACTGTCTAGAATTTGGCAGAAGACCACTCATACTACAGAGAACTAGGACATACCAAATTGAATGGGAAAACAGGGGTAAAAGTTGAATCAAGTCATCAAATCTTAGAAATCTGGGAACAATATTAATTTGTCCATTTTAAAAATGTGTCAGTGACGGGTGCACTCATATACATGCCGCCAATACACTCATACACATAAAATAAAATAATAAAATATTTTTTTTAAAAATGTGTTGGGGCTGGAGAGATGGCTCAGCAGTTAAGAGCACTGGTTGTTCTTGCAGAAGACCCAGGTTCGAATCCCAGCACCCACATGACAGCTAACAACTGTCCATAACTCTAGTTCCAGGGGATATGTTGATCTCTTCTGTCCTCCGCAGGCATTACACAACATGGGTGCACTTACCTACATGCAGGCAATACATGCATATACATAAAAATAATAAATAAAATATTTTTAAAAATGTAACAGAGCCCCAGATACATAGAACTCTAACATTTGTGTTACTGGAGACCCAGAGAGAGAAAAAGTGGATGTCTAAAAAAGCACCAAAGAAATAATAACTGAAAACTTCCACGTTTAGAAAAAGGCATAAACCAATATTTTCTTCAAATTTTTAAAAACATGTTTTTTTATTTTTTATTTTTAGTTTATGTGTATGAGGTATTGCCTGCATGTACGTGAGTGCACCCATGTCATGCAATGCCGTGGAGGTCAGAAGAAGGAGTCAGATTCCCCTGGAACTAGAGTTAAGGACAGTTTGTAGCTTCCATGTGGGTGCTGGGAATCAAACTCAGGTCCTCTGCAAGAGCAGTCAGTGCTCTTAACTGCTGAGCCATCTCTCCAGCCCCCTCTTCAATTTTTTTTTAAAGTCTCAAACATCAAACAGTATTAACCAAAATAAATAAATAAACAAATACCTATAAAACATTAAAATTAAAGGTCTGATCACTAAATATCAAAAATCAGTATTTTATAAAAAAAAAATTCATGCTGGGCGTGGTGGCACATGCCTTTAATCCCAGCACTTGGGAGGCAGAGGCAGGCGGATCTCTGTGAGTTCAAGGCCAGCCTGGTCTACATAGTGAGTTCCAGGACAGCTGGGGCTATAAGGGAGACCCTGTCTCAAAAAAACCAAAAAAAAAAAAAAAATCATATTCATGCCATTCCCTAGAGCTTAGTTCTGATATCAAGCCATAGAGGCAGTAGGGAGTGTCATGGTACATGTTAGATGCTGAAAGAAATTATATGTCACCTCATGTTCCTCCATCCAGGGAGAACTGTCACCAGGAAAGCTGAGAAACAGAACCATTCTCAGATGGGGGAGAAGAGCTTTCATCAGCACATTACCCAAAATAATGGGCAATGGAATTCTTTAGACAGAAAGAAAACAAACTTGGAACAACAGGATGAAAGAAATCATAGTAAACGTGGCATGTGCATGTCATTTCCCTCATGTCTGACTTTTGGAACTGATATCTGACAAAGGATCAAAACTCATATCACCATCCAAGGTTCTGAGCATGTAGAAGAAACGATGAAGACAACTTCAAATACAAGCAGGTAAGAGGGCGTAAAGGTGCTAAGGTGTCCTCACAGCATATAAACTAGCCAAACGATGACACTGGTAGTCTACAATGAGTTATGAACATATAAAACAGCATTTGGAGAAGCCATTAAAGTAGTAGGATAGGGACACTCTTAAAGAGAAAGATCAAATGGAACTCTAAAACTTACCTAATAACTTGGCTGAAAGTTAGAAAAAAACAGAATAAAAAAATCATAAAACAGAAAAATGAAGACTGAAGCCTCAGTGTATTGATAATTATAACAATAGACGTGTTCTACATACACTAAATAGTGGCAAAGCAGCAGCCACAGTTTAACCACGTGCTGTCTATGAGACATTGCTTCAAATATGATGGTACAGACATGAGTGATGGAGAATAAGAAAGTTTTATGAAAGGATGGCTTAAGTCGCGACAGTTTGGCAGTCTAAAGAATCCTCTCTCAGCATGGCTTCTATGAATGGGCAGAGAATCTGGGTATTAGGCTTAGAAAATGAGTTCATGGACTTAAAAAGATTTTTTTTTTTAAATTCAGAACCAAAACAGCCACAGGTAACACCACATAAGAAGAATCCATCTGCTTTTCGGTCTAGAAATTCTATGTGTTGCCCAGTTGTTCAGCATCCCAGGTAAGGGTCCAGTGCGGGTCAGCACACAGTGTGGAGCCAGACCTTGAGCAGAGCAGGTACAGTCGCAGTGTTCATGGTTTTGTGATGGCACAATCTTTCGTCTCCTGTGGAGTTTATAAGCCTTAGCTCAATGGAAAAGACCTTCTGGCTGAAGAGTCTTTCCAAAGAGTGAACATCAAGCAGGGGACACTGTGGCTAAGTGTGTAGTTAACTTTAATCTGTTAAGCACTGGGACTAATATGAGTGTGAAGTACATTCCTAAGTCCGGGCTATGTGATAAGATAAAGAAAGGATGAAGACTTACCTAGATCTTCTCTAGCAGTGATGACTAGACTAGACAGATCCTTAACTATGTGTAGAGTCCTTGTGGGCCAGTAAGTGACACAATCTAAAGGAAGCTCTTTCTCAGTAGAAATACAAGCATGACTGGACAACAGCATGGCTACCCAGGTCTTGGTGCTGGCAGAAGCAGGTAGAGCCCCATATGCCCTTTGCCCTCCCATTAAAGTCCATCAAATGAGAAGCAATAGTGACATCTACATCCTGGAGAGATCTCCCATTTCAATGATGTCCATCAGGGTAAATCTGTGTTTTTAAACTCAGTGGAATATCTTGAGGAAATTTAAGCTGTTAGTTTTTCCCTTAGTAGTATTGGACATAAGTGTTTTGAGTGTTTTCTGAAACACATACTCCCTGAAAAGCCTGTTGTGCTCAGTACCTTTCCATCCACATAAAACTAAATAAACCCTAATTCCATCAAATTTATTCACAGAGAGAACAGTGTACCTGTCCTGACCCAGCAGAGGATGGAGAAACCACCCTCCTTGTCGCTTCAGTCCTTACCTGCAGCGTACTGATATGAACAGGCGTCCCTGTACCGTTCACAGTGTTCTTCTTAACTACATTTGTACCCTTTCCATCTGCCTGCTCTGCCTTAGCAATTCTGGCTTTTTCTGCTTCAACTCTTTTGGGGTTGTTCAACATCACTTGGACAACAGCATATTCCACCAGGGAAGCAAACCCAAAGAGCAGACAGGCGATGAGCCACACATCAAGGGCCTTCACATAGGATACTTTGGGAAGCTCTGCGGCAAGTGTGGTACACTCTGAGGCCAAACTGAGCACGGAGAAGATGCCTAAAAACAGAAGAACCACAGATGTGCTTATCTCTGTGAAATGTTTTACAACCATTGCTCTTTTACTAAATCCTTCTTCAGCAACCTCTGATGGATCATAAACAAACCTCCAAATTTTTAAGCCTCAACAACCAGAAGAAATAATTGGTACAAACTTTTATGTGAACTATTCATTATAGTGGGGAAATGATGGTTTGAAAACAAAACATAGGTCTGTTTTCAGGAATAAAGATGTCAGACACTGTTCAGCAGCATTTCTGTGGGGACCACAGAGCTCTGTGATTACAGGGATCATTTCATTTCTCAGTTTTGTTTTAGAGAGATTTAGATTTCAGTTGTGGGAGGGATTTCCAGCCACAAACAACTAAATCAAAACAAGAATAGAGTACATAATTTTCTGATATGCATTTTTCATAAAAATCTAACAGAGGCTAATAGAGCATTTTTGATCATTTCAGAAAGAAAAATCTCAGCTTTACAAGGAAAGGAATAAAATTCTGCTATAGAAAACACTGTGTATGGGAAACTAGCATTATCTATAAACATTTATGTATCAACCAAAGGTAATTAAGCTAACATATGAGGGTTTAAGCAATCATAAAACTCCAAAGATGAATTGTTATAATAACGTATCTCATTCTCTCTGAGCACCCTTCCTCCCACATTCCTCCTCTCTTCCTCTCTCTTTTTCTATTTTCAGGAGGCAGATGTGAAAAATGACCTGCTAATACACAGTAACACTTGGTGTGAAGAAACCTAGAGTGATATCCACAGACACACTTCAGTCAAGGCAATCTCGGGCCTTGCTGGACTCAGTGAGTCCCTCCTACTAGCTGTATTTCTTTTTTCCTGCCTAGATTTGACTATCTCTTGGAATGACTGAACGTTTCTTTCCGTCAGATAAAGGCATGGGTTATTCCCCTTTCTTTCTTTTGATATAGTAGGCACTATCCTGTTAAAGTAAGGGGTAAAACTCTACAACATGCCTTCTATGATTTTGAAAGTGTGACATTAAAAAACAACTATTGAAGACCAAGATACTCCATAATGGAAAGATTTTCCAAAGGATATAATGACTTTTGCAGATGGAAATGTTAGATACATAATGACTTGGTAAGTATCTAATTTGCTATTTCAAGAACAATCCTCATTAGGGAAACTAGCAGCAAATTAAAAGGACTATATTTGAAGGTTATGTATTTAAAAGTTATCATAGGTCTCAATGTTTTTCAAGTGGAAATTAACATGGAAATCTTGGATCTTATCAGTCACTGCCCTCAACTACTGTCTGTTGTACCCATGAGCAAGCCATCCTTCTAAAACAAATTTTCCATTCTTCTTCAAATATTGTATCAATCTACCAATCAAAAGTAATCCCAGTTTAACTTGACATAGACTGTATTGAGAATATATTGACACTAATCCATTTCTATGGTACAGTATGCTTATCAAACACCTAAGATGTAGAAAATCTTAGTGAATTTAATTATACAATTGAATATATATCTTATTAGAAAATTTAAAATAATAAAATAAATAACACAGACAACTTTAAAGGGCATATAATAGATTCTATACTATCTTTAATAAAGACTTTAATAAATATAAAATTTGGAAGAGATAACTGGTCTTAAAGTAAGCAAAAGGTAGCATATAGCAGATGGCCTCAAATTTTCATTTATTTTCTATAACTTAGGAAGCAGTTTTGAGTGAGCCAGATATGAACAAAAAAACTCAACAGTTTTTCTGTTAACATTTACAATTCATCTAACATCTAGTAGTCAATTGATATATTTACCAAATAGGATAAGGTAAGCTATATAAATATGTAAATTTATACAGCAAAATTATCTGAGAAATTCAATTATTCATTTGGCATATCATGAACAGAAGGGAATCATCTTATCAAGACAACTATGAAACATGGATAGTCACTTTCACAATCAAAAGTACGTGGCTCAGATATTTCTCTCTAGATTCAGGAATAAGCTATCATTCCATAATTCTGCTCAACGATGTGCTAAAGGCCCAAGACACTATGGAAAGGCAAGAAAATTAAGTGTGTAAGTGAAGATAAGAAAATAATTGCCAAGGAGGCAAAATGAGTCTACCTCTTTGATGAATAGGATGGTGGTTATATAAATGAAACATACTTTACTGGAAACCTCATTCCTAGGTATTTATTGAGGAATTATGAAAATACAGAGGCTTATGTACAGGGCTGTACAGAAGCACTGTTAGTAATAGCTGCAAACTGAAAACAATCCCATATATTTGTCAACTGTTGAATGGAAAATCAGTCATCATGCAGATTCTGCATCACAACTAACAAGATAGAACCAAACAGGACTGCATCAATGTTGGCAACACTCTAAAACAGAAACATGTGTCTTCTTCCCTCTAGTTTTCCTCAAGTCTCATTAGAGCTAAACATAGTGACATTCTCTTTTACCTTGTAAACATCCTTAATTCTTATTCCCACCCTACATTTGTAATCATTAAATCAATAATCCTTCACACAGCCAAAGCATACTCAATTCAACCATTCACAGAGCCCTGTGGATACTAAGCTAGTGGCCTAGCACTGAGCTACATCCCTAGCTGGGCCACTCACTAAGCTCTCTTTTTGACAGACCCACAACATGCTCACTCACAACTGCTTCTTATGTTATAGAAAAGAAAGGCAATTTTGAGGCAATCCACATAACTCCCTATGTGCTTACTATATTTACTCTCCTTCTTGCCAGATCCTATAGCCAAGGATCAGCAAATTCTTACCCATTTGTCAAATTGAACCAATCACCCATTTTTGAAAATAATGTCTTACTGAACTACAAGTTCACCCATTCATTTACCTATTGGTATGGCTCTATTAGCACTACAACAGCCAAGTTCAGTGGTATCACAGAAGATATATGGCTTACAACCCTTAAACGCTTACTATGTGGCCTTTTACAGAGCATTGCTGATCCTGGCTCTGAGTGAGGGCCAGCCTTTCATTTTCTGGGTCTCATTACAGCTTCTCGAGAATAATGCTTCTGCCCTGTCTTTGCTCAGTATCCTTCAAGAATATGTCAAATATTGAAGGAAGTCCCCCTCCCCAAGCAAGCTGCTATCATTTCCCAAACTCCCTGCTTCTAAAGTAGTTGGTAATAGCATTCAGTACATAGACAGGTAGTATTTCAGATCTCAAATTCTGAGACTTTGGAATATGTGCCTATGTTTTATGATGTTTTAAGTATAGGCCCCAATTCCAAACAATATTCATTTACATTTCACATACACCTTTATCCCAAAGTCTGGAGGTAGTTTTATAGAATATTTTTAATACACAGCATTTTGATTGTGCTGTCACAGAAGTCAGGTGTGGAGTGTTCAGCTTGTGTCATATAGGAGCTCAGTGTTTTGGGTTTTGGAGCATTTACAAATCTGACATTTTCAGATTAGGATATTCAACCAGGCCCACAGTCCTGATGACAAGGAAGCAGGGCGGCTTACCCAGGGGCACCCTGGCAGCGCTGGCATCGGGGTTGATCCAGAAGGAGAGCCAGGAGAGGACCACAATGAGCAGGGTGGGTGCATACACACCCATCATGTAGAATCCCACCTGTCTCCGAAGGGTGAAGATGACTTCCACGCATGTGTAGTAGCCTGTCAAAGGCAGACACATCACAGGTTTAAGGATCATACCCACAGAGAACCATAAGACACAAAGACCTGTAAGACCTAGGATGCTTGTACCTCTGACAATACTCCAAAATAAATGCAGCAAAGGGTTCTTTCCTTTAATTTGTGTGTGTGAGAGGAGGGAGGGACAGAGGGAGAGATGGAGGGAGGGAGAGAGAGAGAGAGGGAGACTGTGCCACTTCTAAAGTTTATTATGTTATAGAGAAACAGACCACACATGGAATTCTGCAGTCAGGGTCTAGGCACATTGGTCTGTGTGAGAATCTGCAATAGTTATACTTTCCCTGGCCAGAGAAGACCTGAATCAAAGCAACAGTCTAAAAGGAAACACTCTTGGACTGCCTGTTGCCAGTATAATTTTCAGTCACATGTACATCTGGTGGAGAAAAGATGCTGGTCTACAAGTGCCCAGAGGCACAAAAACTTTAGGTAAGCACTGGAAGCAAGCAGGGAGAGCATGGCTAGGCTGTGAAGTCGGAACACCTGACATCCCTCTCCTGCTCTTCCCTCCTGCACACCAAGGTCCTGAAGCCTCTTCCATTTTCACACTCTGGGACAAAGGCAGAAGCTGCTTCAGAACATCATTCTAGAACTGCTTTGACATCAGTAACTTCCCAAATGAATCAGTGCAGGTGGCCAGGAGACAGCCTCTGCTGTCTGGAGGAAGCAAACAAGTAGCAGGCATATTGTGACCACACTCATTCCACAAGCGACATGCTTCCGAATGAGGATTGTTTTCCAAATGTTTGGGTCCTTCTATACGGAATGTATATTGCTTAAAAGGCTTAGTTATTTTGAATTGTTCTTGATACTTAGCCCAGGCTGACCTCAAACTCTTCCTCCTCCAGCCTCAGAATTCTGGAATTAATGTACCACCATACCCAAATAAAATGCTTGACCTAGATAAGATGCTACTTAACATTTAATCAAAGAAAGATTATGCATAAATACTGAGGGTTAAATGACCCCCATTTGTTTTCAGTTGACACTGTGTGTAGTATATTTTTTTAATGTTGAACAAATGAATGACAATTCTTGAGTGAAAAACTTATGACTGGAAAGACAATGCTATGATTCACTACCTTAATCTTCCTAATTGATATAAATATACATATTCCTGACAATGGAACAATTTTCCTATTTATTCATTATATTACATAGAGCAAAATTTCCACATAATAGGTTCTCAATAAATTTTAACTGAAAAGAGGGTATTTACAAACCTTTTTAAAAAATGTTTGATTCTTTGAAAACTTCATGCAATGTATTTGCTCATATTTGGACCTCTTTCCCTTCTTCATCTTACTACTGCCCCCGACTTCTTTCCTCTGTTATGCTTTTTAAAAACTTATTTAATCTAATTTGTGTTCACCAAAGGCTCTTGGGTGTTGGTCTATCCCCTGGAGCCTGGTCAACCTACTGGGCAACACACCCTTAAAGAAAATGGAGTGTCTCTCTCCCAACAGCTATCAATTGCCTATTGATCTTCAGCTAGGGTTGTGGCTACTTCCCCACCTCCCTCAAACGTGCTGGGATTTTGTCTGGCTTGGATTTTGAAAGGGCTTGTGCATGCTGTCACAAGTGCTGTGGGTACAATCCTCTTAAGTAATGCTCATGCAAAAACTATTCTATTTTATGAGCATTCTATTCATATATGAGTTATAATCATCACTGCCTCTGAGAGATTGGAAAGGTGATAGAACCAATGCGTAACAGTTACTTGGTAGAAATGCTACTTCTACCAAATGTTTTCATATTATATCAAAAACAAATAATGCAGTTTTCTGTTTTACTTCATTAACACAAGACAATATAGTAACTTCACAGGTTTTATAAGATGGGGGGAAGTGAGAAAAATTCCTTCCTTTCTTTATTCCCAAGGACTCATTTTAACTTCCTCTCTAGAAAACAAAAACATGCATCTTGGCAATGGACATGTTTAATATTTCAAAAAATCCTTCCACCCGAACAAGAAATCTTCCTAAGTATAATTGATGAAATTACAAAATCTCACTTTACTTTCTAACATATGGTCCCAAGTACTGTGCTTTTAACAGTATCACATATTCAGGTAACTCTTATATTCACCTACTGCACATGAAATGGAGAACAACAAATATATGCTTCTAAAAATGTTTTATATATTTATGTAACTTCTGTTACAAAGAGCATAACAATTTATTCTAAAATAGTATATTTTAAAATAAAAAAATTGCATTCCACCCCTCTATGTTTAAAGATAGCTTAAATAAATAGCCAAGTTCTGTTTTGAAACAAAGTTCCACCATTTACTTTTCATCCATGCACTGACTGGACAACTTTACAAGTCATGGATGCATCTAGCAGTATCATACATGTGGATATTACAGTACTTTGCTTCGTAAACTTTTGTGAGAAACATTTTTGATGTCTTTTGATCTTTCTCTAGGACTGTTACATTTATGAGAGGCAGGTGGGCAGCTAATTGAAATAAGTGTTCATTGGGCAAACTGAATTTACTATTTCCTGTGTATATTTATTTCATTACTCACTTAGGAACCCAATTTAGGTGGTTTAATACATTGTGTTCCCATATTCTCCATCTTCACTATCTCTTCAGTCATAGAACAGCATAATTTCAAAAGATTTAAAGCCACATCATGAATACTATACAAATTAAATATCTGCCACTATTGCATGTATATATGTATACCTGTTTTCCATTCTACATTGCTCAGCATTATCTGTATTTTGAATGATCTATTATTGCAAATATTTTCCCAATGCTAGCCAAACAATAACATGCTTTACTTATTGTTTATATAACTGCTGATAAACTATCTGTAACATAGTAATTGTGGAAAGTACACT